CATTTTTCCAGGTAGGGTACGTTCTTGTGTTTGATATTTCATTCTTCCGGGTAGGATACGTACTTGTGTTTGATATTTCATTTTCCAGGTAGGGTACGTACTTGTGTTTGATATTCCATTTTTCCAGGTAGGGTACGTTCTTGTGTTTGATATTTCATTCTTCCGGGTAGGATACGTACTTGTGTTTGATATTTCATTTTCCAGGTAGGGTACCTACTTGTGTTTTATATTTCATTTTTTCAGGTAGGGTACGTACTTGTGTTTGATATTCCATTCTTCCAGGTAGGGTACGTACTTGTGTTTGATATTTCATTTTTTCCAGGTAGGGTACGTACTTGTGTTTGATATTCCATTCTTCCGGGAAGGATACGTACTTGTGTTTGATATTCCATTCTTCCAGGTAGGGTACGTACTTGTGTTTGATATTTCATTTTTTCCAGGTAGGGTACGTACTTTTGTTTGATATTTCATTTGTTTCCAGGTAGGGTACCTACTTGTGTTTGATATTTCATTTTTCCAGGTAGGGTACGTACTTGTGTTTGATATTCCATTCTTCCGGATAGGGCACGTACTTGAGTTTTATATTTTATTCTTCCGGGAAGGATACGTACTTGTGTTTCATATTCCATTTTTCCAGGTAGGGTACGTACTTTTGTTTGATATTCCATTCTTCCGGATAGGGCACGTACTTGTGTTTTATATTTTATTCTTCCGGGAAGGATAGGTAGATGTGTTTTATATTTCATTCTTCCGGGAATGATACGTACATGTGTTTTATATTTCATTTTTTCAGGTAGGGTACCTACTTGTGTTTGATATTTCATTCTTCCAGGTTGGGTACCTACTTGTGTTTGATATTCCATTCCTCCGGGTAGGGCACGTACTTGTGTTTTATATTTCATTTTTCCAGGTAGGGTACCTACTTGTGTTTGATATTTCATTCTTCCAGGTTGGGTACCTACTTGTGTTTGATATTCCATTCTTCCGTGTAGATCACGTACTTGTTTTTTATATTTCATTTTTCCAGGTAGGGTACGTACTTGTGTTTGATATTTCATTCTTCCGGGATGGATACGTACTTGTGTTTCATATTCCATTTTTCCAGGTAGGGTACGTTCTTGTGTTTGATATTCCATTCTTCCGTGAGGATCACGTACTTGTTTTTTATATTTCATTTTTCCAGGTAGGGCACGTACTTGTGTTTTATATTTCATTCTTCCAGGTAGGGTACGTACTTGTGTTTGATATTTCATTTTCCAGGTAGGGTACGTGCTTGTGTTTGATATTCTATTCTTCCGGGTAGGGCACGTACTTGTGCTTTATATTTCATTCTTCCAGGTAGGGTACGTACTTGTGTTTGATATTTCATTTTCCAGGTAGGGTACGTGCTTGTGTTTGATATTCCATTCTTCTTGGTAGGGCACGAACTTGTGTTTGATATTTAATTTTTCCAGGTAAGGTACGTACTTGTGTTTTATATTTCATTTTTCCAGGTAGGGTACGTTCTTGTGCTTTATATTTCATTCTTCCAGGTAGGGTACGTACTTGTGTTTGATATTCCATTCCTCCGGGTAGGGCACGTACTTGTGCTTTATATTTCATTTTTCCAGGTAGGGTACGTTCTTGTGTTTTATATTTCATTTTTCCAGGTAGGGTACGTACTTGTGTTTTATATTTCATTTTTCCAGGTAGGGCACGTACTTGTGTTTTATATTTCATTTTTCCAGGTAGGGTACGTACTTGTGTTTGATATTTAATTTTTCCAGGTAAGGTACGTACTTTTGTTTGATATTCCATTCTTCCGGATAGGGCACGTACTTGTGTTTTATATTTCATTCTTCCGGGAAGGATACGTAGATGTGTTTTATATTTCATTCTTCCGGGAATGATACGTACATGTGTTTTATATTTCATTTTTTCAGGTAGGGTACGTACTTGTGTTTGATATTCCATTCTTCGGGGTAGGGCACATACTTGTGATTTTTTTTTCATTTTTCTGGGAAGGGTACTTACTTGTGTTACATTGTATATACTTTTTTCTTCAGGGTAGAGTACGTACTTGTGTTATATAAACCATTTATCCGGGTTGGGTACGTACTTTAGTTTTATATTTCATTTTTTCCGGGTAGGATACATACTTGTGTAGTATATTTCATACGTCTCGGTAGGTTACGTACTTGTGATTTATATTTCATCCTATCGGGTAGGGTACGTACTGGTGTTTTATATTTCATTCTTCCTTGTAGGGTACATACTTGTGTTGTATATTTCATTCTTCCGGGTAGGGTACGTTCTTGTGTTGTTTATTTCATACGTCTCGGTAGGTTACGTACTTGTGATTCATATTTCATACTTCTCGGTAGGCTACGTGTCTGTGATTAGTATTTCATACGTCTCGGTAGGCTACGTGTCTGTGATTAGTATTTCATCCGTCTCGGTAGGCTACGTGTCTGTGATTAGTATTTTATACGTCTCGGTAGGCTACGTGTCTGTGATTCATATTTCATACGTCTCGGTAGGTTACGTACTTGTGATTCATATTTCATACGTCTCGGTAGGCTACGTGTCTGTGATTAGTATTTCATTCTTCTGAGTAGGTTGCGTTCTTATGTTTTTATTTCGTTCTTCCATGTAGCTTACGTGCATGTGTTTGAGTGTCGATAGTCTTTTTATCATATGGTGCATTTGTCTTTATAAAAACAATCATAACATGATTGTGAAAATATCTACATTTTTTGTTGATTTTTCCACTTTGGCCTTATGACATCCTCACATCAGTGCTGTTAAAAGTTTGCATTATTCAGGGGAAAGGTTCACATTATCCTTGTGGTTGTTCATGAAATAAATTAAAAAGGTGAAGATCAAAATTTGTTTTTGCGCTTTTGTTAGTTCGAATGTATTTTCTGTTTATCACATGACGTAAACAAATTTACAAAACATCAATTTTAAACTATTAGTTCTTACTTTATCAGTATTAACCGAATAACGGCTAAAAGTATATCATTCCACATAATGTGATGAAACATACTTCCCAAACCTGTATATAATTTTACAGCAATATCAACTCATTTTATCATTCAAATACAACTTGTGTTTGACTTTGAAAACTTACATCGAACATACGTGTTTGTTATTAGTATTGCAAGTGTGACAATGATTTTAAAACGACAACCTGAAAAATGACCTCGCCAGACTGGCAGACCGGCGCGACATAGCGAAAAGCCGCGTCATAGCGCGAAAATACAAAAAGGAGATCACACACGTTTCCGAGTCGGATTAGTCACCGTTGCTGTCTGAAAAGATTCTTCTTCGTTTAATGGCTCTTGAATGACTGACGTTGTCCTCTTTTGGAACAACATTGGTGTGGAAGTGTCCCCCGTACACATTACCACCAAACATTGTGTGCAGTCCTCCGAGATCATCCATTGACGAGGCCGTGTTCGTGGCTGTATTTTGGACCGCGGTGTTGTTACAAGTCGGAGTCAACTGATTCTGTTGATATTGTGTTGAGGCGAGAGCCATGATTCATGAAGGGGAAGATGATATGCGTGAAATGGTCTTGTACTGATCAGAGTTATTTGACTGTAATTATTTACAGATTGTATATTTCTATGACCCGTTATCTGCATGATTTGGTTGGTATTCCCGGTAACATAAGGCCTAGTTGGCTCGTCAGATACCAGTTTCATACGGTTTCCTGGCATATCAATCACAAAATCAACTTCGTCCATCTATACTGGGATTCGTTAGGTCCTTTAACTTGAATGATTTTCGCGAGCCCACTGTTGTCTATACTGACAATATCATTGATTTTGAAAGCAGCCATAAAAGGAGCCTTAGTATAAAAAAGTAGTTCTGTTTATACGCGTATTAACACAAACGAAATGTGAATAAACTGACCAATCAAAACCCTTGTCCAAGCTGTTATAACACGTATGTTCATAACAAAAGTTTCATGAAATGGGTATTATTACACTCCTTACAGGGTAGTCATGTGATAAAAATGAATGTACACTTATAACTTTGCAACGATATATCCCATGTTATTGGTTGATACTTGGCGTTGTTTAATTATATTTGTTGATCTGCATTTCAGAGCTCTATGAATGAACTGCTACAGAAATTGCAACGGGCAGACCCATATTATGTACGGTAAGCAAAATGAAATACTTGTCTCTTCTGTTATAGTTTTACTCCGAACTTTATATTGGATTTCTAATTAAATGAAGAGTTTAATCAGTTGAACACTGCTCCAAAACATTAGATTGTTGCAAATTGCAAACATAATAAAAATTTGAAGGAAATAGTATAACTATATATTCGACTGCTTTCGTTAAGTTTCTCTAGTGGCGGAAATCAATATCAAGCGAGTTTTTGTCATGTTTTACTCTACGAAATCTCAATGCCAGGTTTCGGTAACATTTCTGTGATAAAATCTTGTGAAAATTATCGTCGTCTAAGATTAAATGAATTGGCCCATTTATACAGTACAACACACTAGCCTATTATTACGGTGTCGACTTTTGCTTGTCGCAAATTGCTTACCAAATTATAATGTATGCGTGTAACATAGACACATCAAATAAATAAAATGAATATTATAAGGGGTTTTGCATGAAACTAACGGAAACCTCAGTTTTCTTCATCACATATACAGCCATGATTCCGCTATGGAAACATTTGCTTTTATTCATTATTTTTCAGTAGAAACCTGAAGTTTTAATCGGGTTACAGTCAGGACTCCGCAACGGAATCCTTAAGCTTTTATCGATTGCTGCTATGTTTTTAGCAGAAGCAATGTGGTGTTTCAGCCAAGGTGCAGTAACGGTTTTCACAATGATAACCTTGAGTTTCAGCTAATAGTCTGCAGTAAAACCTAGAACGATTCCTGAATTGGAAAATGTATTTTCTATGCAGTGTTGCCTACATCATCTCTACCTAATTAGAATGTTCTCGTAATCAAAATACAAATTAACAGCAATATACGTAATTAAATTATCCAATAGAATATGTCAAATCGGTATTTTATAGTTATTTCAAATATTCACTGAGTGACATATGCTGATTATCAAATAAATGAACAAGTTTCATTATGTATCTAGGCAGAACATAGAATTGTCATGTAAGCTGTTTACAGGTATAATTGATTGTACTAACAGTCAATGTTTTGAGAGTTCTTCCAGCGAGAAATAAATGTATGTGTATGTCATCAACGTTCTGTGAATTCAATGATCATTTCATCACATAATATATCAATTTCTACCCAAGTTGAACTCAGTGCAACTACCAAAAGTTACCTGTTTCATTTGCCCATGCATTTGACCAGATTAGCATTTCCTGTGCGTATGAATACATATTTTCATCTTTTGCAAAGGGACATTTTTTAGCACAATTTGTAAAGAAAGAAGATACCACTGGTACAAGATTTATACCATTTCAATAAAACAAGGGAAATAATATACACAATATATTTTTTTTTAAAAGAAAGAAGAAGTTTGTAGCATTATGATCATTTTAAGTCATTCAAGTATATTTTCACATTTACACGAGATCTTGTGAATGTTGTCGTCTGCTGCAAACATGGCAAACATGTATGGCCAGTTCACTGCTGAATTGCCCCCAAAGTCTTCAAGAAAGTGACAACTCACTTGGTGATTCTGACACCGAACTACTCCTCGACATGCTTCTTGAAGTTAAACGTGTAAGTGTAACAGAAGAAGAAGAAGTGAGGGGAACAATCAGTGACCATATGGCATCATCCACAGAGAGCCACCTTCCCGGATGAAAATGGAAAATGAGTTGTCGATTGCAGCTATTATTGATGGTATTGGGCAATCGGAGTTGCTTTCAATATCCACCGGATCAGAAAGATTCAAAAAGGTGTCCGAAGAGGAACTGGAAAAATTTGAGGCATTAAATCAATCCAAGTCCACACAAAAAAAACACAAAGTGAGGGATAAAGATTAAACAAGGTATTTACCGATTATTAAAACATGAAACAATATAAAACTTAAAGGAAGTAACACTATATTTGCTGCAAGTAACACAACTAAAAATGCAAGTGTAATGCAGACAAATATAAAATAATATCTGACAGAACACCGACACTTCTGATTGTACAGAGTAAAGTTTATGAACGTTAGTTGAAGCAGTAATTGTTCTATCTCTGTTTCACGTATACCTGTGATTCATATCGGGGTGTGATAACACACAAAACTTATCTAGTATCGGGTAAGATACCATAGATTCAATTTTCAAAACTGATTTTGGGCAAATATAGACACAAATTTCAAGATGAATAGAATCAAATATGACCTTAAAATATTGAGTCTATGCGGTGCCTGGGGACACTGTTACAGCTAGAAATTAATAGTATTTTTTTTTTATTGGAGATGAATTATAACAAATATTACACTTTCTTCCTACAGAATTAGATGTCGAAACTTATCATTCCCAAATGGACATGCAGAATGTAAAACTGAGGAACTGAGCAAGAAATTCCCAAATGGACATGCAGAATGTAAAAACTGAGTAACTGAGCAAGAAATTGGGACATTTCTATTGTTAGGCTCAAAACAAAACCCAAACTCCAACAAGACAGCTGATTACTATAAGAACACTCTTGAAGCAAACGAGCTGCAATAAACAGACACCTGCACGACCTTGACCGCAATATTGATATTTTACATTCAGGAGAATTTAGAAAACCTAATAAGCTTCTTGACAGCGTATGGTACAACATCGCCATACACCATTGTAACACGCGGATTAGAGTGTCATCACCAACTTTCAAGAAAGTCTTTTGAATTTAAAATAGATGAATTGGCTGTAGAATGTGCTGTCATGACTCATGAAATGCGTCAAAACATTTCAAGGTGGCCTAACCAACACTGAAGCAACACATGGCAAACGCATGCACGCAATTGGTCCAGCAAAGTGTCCAGTAAAAATGTTGAAACTATTTATGTCGAAAACTGACCCTAACACCTCGTTATTCAACAAATGTGTCGAAGAAGCGATCTACAAACGGCCCACTGCTTACGCGTAACAGTCATACAAAATATGATCGATGCTGGTTACGCGACACGACAAATCATGTTTATGTCAGGTGACCGGAACGAAGCCTCAGTGAGAAGCTACAAAGAAGCTGTTCGAGCGACCAAAAACGGTCAATTAGCAGAACATTATCAGCTGTTGATAGCAGAGGTGACAATTCATGTACTGTCCTAGAAATTGCCCCTCCAGCTGCCAATTCTGCCTCGTGGGTCACTGTCACACCCCGCCCCCGGTACAAATCGAAAATAACACTGGTAGGCCTAGCCAAGGCGTACCTGAAATGCAGTCAAACAGCCAGCTGCCACATCAAATTGTTTCGTCCGTTCAAGCTACGTCTGGTTTTCTGTCTTATTCGACATTCATCAATTGCAGGTTCACCTTTCAGAAGATGTAGAACTATATGATAAATATCGCATGTAAAACACGTTTTTCTGTGTGTTTTGTTTTTTCGTAATTTACCTGTATTTAACTATCGGCGTACACTTTGTTGCATGATGGTCGTTCAATGGCGGACTATATTTTTTGCTTACGTCTATGCCTAGACCTGCACAAGCTCCAAAATCTAGGACGAACTATCAGAATGGACACAAGTTCCAATTATCGAAAAAAACACATGTTTATTGAAATATAAGGATTGAATCTTGCTTTGATCGATTTCATGGGGCGATGAATTGAGTTGGTCTTGAAACAAATTCAACATGAACTGCTTCACAGTTCATGAAACAAATTCAACATGAACTGCTTCACAGTTCATGAAACAAATTCAACATGAACTGCTTCACAGTTCATTAAATTTGTTTCAAGACCAACTCAATTCATCACCCCATGAAATCGACCAAAGCAAGATTCAATCCTTATATAATAGCACAGATGTACAAAAATGACATAAACACTTTGCATGGACTTTTACAGCTGTATCAAACCCAACATGTTCCTAAAACCAGACAACTTCGATGACGAAAAGGTGTTGGAACAGATGCTTTATAATGGGATATCGGAAGTGGCAAAGATTAGAAAACTTGGTCTTCCTATTCGGAAACGGTATGACGACTTCACAAAGAGGCAAGTAATCAATACTAAACAGAGTTATATCATATAAGTAATAGTTTCGTTCATATGTTAATTATATTCGCGTTATCAATTGGACTTTGAATAAACAACGTGTCATTTTTTTTAAATTTACGAATGACATAATTCAGAATGAAAAACTTAATCTCCATTTTGAAAGTGTTCAAGATATGAAAACAACTGTAAAGGTATATATTTACTCAGGAAAACTTGTATTGGTAACGCAAATATCACTGCTATGAATGCTTTTGATTAGGATGGCATTTCAGGTCCGAAGATCTTTGATGATATAAATACAACATTGCGTTCTCTACCACACAAATTCCTCAGTATAAAAAGCAATTAATGTCCCCCTTGGTTTCATATTTGTATGCGTGAATTTATTGAGATAGAGTTTTAATATAGAAAAGTAATACAGTCTTAAAGCAAACGTTTTCTATATCATATTCTTTCCATGCTAAGTCAAGGTAAACCCCATGGATGCCATTTAAAATCTGGTTTGATATTAAGGGTAGTCAAGAAAATAACAAACTCTTGAAGCATTTGAACGGTAGGGTCCAAGATAAATGTATAGATTATCACAAATGAAGTCAAGATTACGCTTGAATACAGATGAAAAGTCAGTCGCACAATCTGAGGCCACTCCAATGGGTTTTATTAAATAAAGATATATCACCAATTTACTTGTTTCAATATATTAAAATACATTGTTTGATTCTTGAAAAGTATGCATACATGTTAAGGGTACGGTAATCAAATGGTAGGACGCCGGGCTTGTGACCGAAGGGTTGCGGGTTCAAGTCACGGCACGGCACTGTGTTGTATCTTTGAGCAAGATACTTTACTCCACTTTAGGCTTGTTCCGGTCTACTCAGCTATAAATGAGTACGTGGTTGGGCAGTCTTAGAATTGTAGAATGCTAGATGTGAGCGCCGAAATGACAGTACTGACTGTATGCTCCCTAAAGAGTTGAGAAAGGTATTGCCTAGTTGCAAAGGCCCTATAACTACAGATAATAATTTGTGAACCGATTTGAGACGACCTATGAACTAGGTTGTGATAAAGCGGTATATAAGAATCTTTAATTATTATTATTATTTATTAATATTGTGATAAATCGTCACGGTAGAAGAAGAACCCTTTTTAACACATGAGTAGAAAGGTTAAGATAACCATGTTTCAAGTTGTACATGGCAAATTATTTTTTCAGAAGAATATTATAATTGAAACTTTGATTTTAAAACGCCGAAGCATAAATGATAGTGTAGTTCGCTAATTACAGAGGAAACAGGGGTGGCATTAATGAAAGTTTAACATATATCTAGTTATGCAATTGAACGTCCTTTGTGCTTTAACTGATATTGTAGATACAGACCACTGTTTCTGGATTGTCGGAAGGCGCGATCGGACAGAGCTGGGGCAGAGCTGCTTCTGAAAAAAACTTTGCCAGATAAAATGATGTCAGGGATACAATTTGGCAAAACAAGGGTATGTAGCATCCTTGCTTCTAATTTGTTTCTGTTATCTATTTAGAGTTTGGTATAATTTTGCATTCCTGGGCCTATGTAATCAGCCTGTTTAATCCATTCCTGACTCCTTGATAGTCGGATGCGACACCACATTCATAACTATCTAGATGTTCTCTGTCTGCCTTCTTCTCGAGGTTTCTGGCAGCACGGGTTTCCTTCATGAACACCAATGCCTTCGTCCTATCTGTCACATATTCTGATGGAATATTAGAATGTTAGTTCATGTAATTAAGGGAGTTTTGCACCTCAAATTCTGTTTCAGCAGTGATTTAGACGAATTGGGATTTCTAAGTGTTTGACTTACTTGCATCTTTCATTCCATTTTTTTGTTCATTTCGTCGTGTGCTTAAATGCCTTCTGTGAATTCTGTGAGGTCCATTTTCGTTTTACCAGTATACATATTTCCGTTGTGTTGTCACGATAATATCCCGGAAAACTCTTTACAAATCCTTATTCCCAAAATGAATTTTTGTTTTCCTTCCTATGCCTGTTTTTCCTTCACAAATTGAATCAATGTGTGTGTGTTATGTTCATCTATCATTGTAGACTTCAGGATATTTTATGATTTTTTTGACGCCGTATTTTAATATTTCATAAAACAACTTTTCTTTGCATATCTCATTAGACTGATTTCAAACGTACTCTATGTGTAACATATTAAACACGCTTCATCTAATAAACATGTTTTAATGTTATAAATCACACCATGCATTAGGTAGCATTTTCATCGACGAAATAATTATCGTATTAGCCATCGAAATGTCACACATTAAGTTTTCACTGATTTAGCTTCATCATATGTACCGACGACGCTGAGAAAATGTTCCATGAATATTACGATATATTTATTAACAGTCATAAAATAGAGTTTATTTGATATGATCAATTATATATGTAAATATTGTATATCGTTGTGCAGGTTTTCATGCAGGAAGATGTCAGTATCTGGCTAGAGAAATGTCGTGGTTTCAGGGAGCGGGCTGCCGTTGACACCATTGCTAAAAGGTGGCAGCAATATAAGATTGAAAACAAACGAAAAGAAGAAGAAAAAAGACGAATGGAAGACGAAAAAAGGGCCATACTGATGCGTGAACTTGAAGATAGTAAAGTGAGTTTTATATATAATGATTTTAAAACACAATGTGGTAGATAAAGGAGTAGATTCAGGAAGGGTCATTTTTGGCCATTTTTACGAAATTTTCAAGCTTGTTACAGAACAAAATAACATGTGATAAATCCTTGGCTTACATCTAGAAAAATATATTCAAAAATGTTCGACTGAAACAAAATGGTATTTTTCTTACTGCGCATGTCACAAAATGCCATGGTTTAACTAAAATTTTGACTAAAATTTACCCCAAATGTTTAGATCATTTCCTCAAAATAGCATAGGCTCCACACGTCGCCCAGAATATTTTTTATTGCAAACGAAAGAAAAGAAATCATAAAATTTATTTCTATAATTTGATTTTTGGGCGAACTATGGTGCCATATGATAAAACATGAATGTTTGCGAGTTGGAAGTGTGAAATTTGTGGTTAAGTACCGCGGTCAGCACGCACACGGTTCACAACGTAAAATGCTGGTGCCAACGTTACGTTACGCCATTGACGTTTTGTTATTCCCATCAATAATAATTCATGTTGATCATCAAGATAATCACGAACAGATGAAGAAGATGTAGTAGAGTCGAGATTTTCCCCTTTTTTAAATACAAGTTTGGAGTAAGAAGCTGGAATCGTAACAATTGAGGTAAGAAATCATTTCCCCTCGAAAATTGGTCAACTCGTCCCGAAATGTCACAGTTGTTTATAAGGTTACGTCTTGCGTATTTATAAAGAAATTTTGTTTGTGTTATTGATAGTGACGTATTTTAACAAATTTCGGAAATCCCGTTCATCAGTGAAATAATGAAAATATCTGCTATAAGTTGTGAAAACATCCACCACATTCTGTCGATATTGCAGGCCGAATGCGACTCTTGACATAATGGTGAGTCCTGGTTTAACCCTTGTAGTTAGTTTTGTAACAATAAGTCCATATAATCCATTTTGTTTTCACTGATACTGTAGAACATTTAGACAGCAGTAGATGGATTTGATGACAAGAAATTGGAAAATAGCGATAAATGATTGAACATTATCTACAAGTTTTGAAATGACGATTCCGGTAACAGCGTCAGGTCTCCGTGCATTTTGCCCTGCTGTTGTGGGATCGAACCCCAATGGGCGACAATTTTAAAACCAAAAAGAAATCTCATATATATATATATATATATTTGTGTGTGTTTACTTTGTGCTGAATAAGAATGTCTTTAGGAAGGAAAAAAATCCTTAGATATATATATATGTTTAAATAAAATGTTTTGGGTTATTTTTAGAATGAAACTCTTTTTACACGCTCTAAGTCTTAAAACTTGAGCTTGAAATATTTTAATTAATAGGTTAACATTAACATCACACTCTAGATTTATTATGTGGATGCCTAGATATAATCTTCACATGCACTTTACCTATCCTTATCTTGAAAACATGGGTGAGTCGGGACAACGTTGATGTGTTACTTCTTAATAGTCCAGCGTGATGGTTATGCCCCTACTTGTGTTAAGGCATGCTAGTGTATTGTTACATTCTGATAGTGATATGACCTATTATATTCTTTTTCCTTGTAGCATGGCATTTCTACTTTGCAAAATGGATTTCCGGGGTACGCTCGGCCAGACGGAATGTTACAAAGGAACTGAAGAAGTTCTTGCAAAAATCATTTCGTATCAACAGCACAGACAATGACGTCATCTGTAATACATGCAGCCACAGATTCAGAGATAATAGGCTTCCATCAAAACAACCCACTGAGGACAGTGACGAGAACTTTCAACCTCCGCCGAAGAAAAGATAAATAATTATGTTTCATATAATAAATTATGTGTAGAAACTGAAATACAATATTACTTCCGAGACATACTTTTTGTTATTATATTAATTTTGAAGTATTCCATAAACATGCAGGTGCCACCTGACAAGCAGACATAATTGCAACATCAACACCCATATGGATAACGGTATAGTGGAACATTTGTTGCTGGTAGGCTGATGATGTAAAGTCACATGGCAAATGCAAATACATACTATATACTACATATTATTAAACTCATGCTGAAAACCCATTACTACTGTCTCCTATATATCGTTGCTATGGTATAAATATGGTTGCTATGGATTATTTGGTAATCAAATGACAATACAATTTTTTTTTTTGTCTTCTTATCATAATACACTTCAATGACAATTATTAGATCAGCATTTAAAGGTCTAAAAATATTAAAACTGAAACGAAACAAAAAGTATAGGAAGAAAATCTGTACATTTCTGTCGTAAAAATGATCGACGTTGCTAGGACTGTTGCTAAGGAATGCAAATCCCCCATTGATAAAAACAACTATGTTTTAAACCTATTCCTATTCATACAAGTAAGTGGTATAAATATGAGAAAAAAATCAAAACAGAGCAAAAAATGAACCTTCGTGAATCTACTCCTTTGATTAGTATAGATATTATTGTTGATACTGAGAAAGTTCCAACTAGCGCGGTCTTATTTTCACTATTTTTTGTCTCAAAAATGTTAGATGAGAAGATTTCTATATATGTTTTACATGCGTACCTAGTTTTGATATGAAGTGTGTATGCTATGGTCAAAAAATTAATTACGCATAATTATAAATGGTATATGGTAGTTATACTATCCTCAAAATGTGAAGACGTTACTTATGTCCCCCAAAGAATGTTTTGAGAGACAAATGATTTATATAGTTTTGTTTTAGCTCACTTGATCCAAAGGACCTTCAAGCTTATGCCGTTGCGCTGGTCCGTCGTCCGTCCGTCAACTGTTCCTTCAAAACGTTATTTTTCATGAACGGCTCAGTGGTTTTTGACCAAAATTGGCCAGGAGAATCCTTAGGAAAGGCTGGCTCAATTTTGTATAAACGGAGGATGTGGCCCACTGAGAGCAGACGGGTGGGGCCAACAGGGTAAATTGAAGTAAACTTTAAATGCCTTTTCCCTTAGTACGGTTGGAGGGGTATTAATCAAATTTTATACAAAGCATCAATTAGCAAGGGAGAGCAATTTTGTATAAATAAAATGTGTAGTCCCTCTTTTGGCAGAAAGTAGGGCCCAAAGCGGAAACAGTGATAAATGTTTAAAATCCTTCTGTTTCCGTCCGATTTGAGAGCTTTTGACCATATATAAACGAGGGTTGTGATTCTCCTGAAGTACGATTTGAGGGATTTAACCGAGTTTTTTGTAGAGCATACTTGAGCATAGGAAATGCTATCTTTGATTAACGGAAGATGTGGCCCCCTGGAGACAGAGGGTGGGCCCAATGGGGGATAGTGTGGTAAATATTTAAAATCCTTCTGTTTCTGTACGATTTGAGATATTTAAACCAAATATTTCCAGACAGTTTTGGATCCTCACACTCAAAACACTGTTGTCTATTATAAGGTTGAGGCATTTATATAGAGTGTAAGCAATGTGCTGAATAATATTTCATATTTTAGTGCTCAAAACTGGTTAATTGGACTTAAAGCTTTTGGGCAAGCTTGAGGTTAAAACTTTTGGGCAAGTTCTTTTGTGAAGTGTTGGAACACCACCAACAAGGTTATTGTCTATTATAAGTATTTAGATGGAGTGTAAGCAATGTGCTGGACCATATTTGCATATTTAGGGGTCTAAACAGCTTAATTTGACTTTGTTAAATTTTTTGGACAAGCTTGATATTAAAAGTTTTGGGCAAGGTATTTTTGTGCAGTGTTGCATCATCACAATAATTAGGCTGTTGTATATTATAAAGTTAAAGTATTTTTTGGATCGCAAGCATTGTGCTGAACCTTATTTTCATATTTAGGGACCAACATGGTTACGATTGGACTTGGTAAAGTTTTTAGGCAACCTTGAGGTTATAGTTTTTGGGCAAGTTTTTTAGTGCAGTGTTGCATCACCACCATCAAAAGGCTGTTGTCCATTATAAGGTTGATTGGCAATTTGTTAATTGGACTTGGTTAAAGTGAATAAACACCATGAATACGCTGTTGACTATTTTACGTTGTATGGTCATCTCTTCTTTTGAAATGTCAAACATGTTAGGGTACAGCAAAACCTTGTTATATTGCCGCCATTTGTTCAAAGCAATATTAGCATTATAACGGGGTTTGCCAATAATTTGAGGGAAACGTATAAAGGAATTCTTAAGAAAAACATGAATAAGGGACCTAAAAATACGTTGGTGGTAAGCGAGGTGGCAAATGAAATGACCGGCATTATATCAATGTTTTACTGTACGTGTGTTTCTTATATACCCCCCGCAACGAAGTTAGGGGGTATACTGGATTCAGATTGTCTGTCTCTCTGTCTGTCTGTCAACATTTTAAATCTCATTTTGAAAGTGAGAGGGATTTGAACCAAATAGTCAACATCATCGATTGCAAAAGGGACTCAAGTTTATGAAAAACAGAGATCTACAGTGCACTTTCATTTGGTGATTTGGTCCTGTACCTCAAGGTGAAAGGTCAATTTTGTGCAAATATTTGAGTACATTATTGAATTAAATTAATTTCTAAACCAATAACGATGTCCTAAAGAAACGTGCATTCAACTTGCATCAGCCAAAGCCTATGTGCAATGTATTGTCATTAGGTCACATTTGGCCATTACCTCAAAATAAATGTCAAATAAACACAAACTTGTTCGGAACATTTAGTTGGGTCCGCAACTTTTGAACCATTAAAGATATCCTAATGAATCTTCAAGCTTAACTTCATCACCAACATATGATATGTCATTAGGTCGCTATGACCCTCAGATCAAGGTCAGAGTTAACATAAGTCCAAAATGTTCAGTGCTATCTTTTAAAAAAATAACGTTTTGTACCCTTCCACTTCAGAACATTTAGATTGCTTTTATTCATAAAACTTTTGAGTAAACAGATCTTCTGATATTTTAAATGTATGTAAGAAAATTTTAAATACGCAGTAATTAAACTTTTTTTGATTTAATTTTCATTTTACAAAGGAAGGGGAAAGAAGAGAAGATATACGTTCTTGTTTACAAA